GGGGTATTGGAAGGGATTGGGGTGGAGAAGGGAGAAAAAGATATAAGAAGCAGAAATAGAGTTTAAAAGTATGCTAACTAGTGGCGCCCAGATGCAGGCTTAGAATGATGAAAAATCTGGTTTCTAATGCAGTAGAGGCCGCAGCAGGGTATAAAAAACTGAATATATCGTTTCGGATATGAGCAAAAAGTTTGTTGCGGCTAGTGCTGATTGGTTCTCTCCCTTTTTGCTCCCAGAAGGGATTTTCTGGTTTCGCTTCCGTCCTCTTCTGCATTCTATTTCAGAAAAGGTTGGGAGAATTGAACAACTGGAGAAGTTGCAAGTAAATACGCAGGGGTTTGAGAAACAAACAAAAAAATGGATGAAATCGGAAAATGAGAAGGCTCACTCAAGTCTCGTTTTAGAAAGGGTTGCAGAGTTGGCAGGACAACTAGAGAATTTGTGGGTAGAGGCTGAAGTGCTTGGAAAGAAAAATCCGCTGTTGGTAAAGGGAGAGACACCTGGTAACTGAGAGCCAGAGTTTCCCGAAATCGCCCTGCTCCGATTCAGCGTCATGTTCCCACAGCCTCGGGGCAAGCTTGGGCGCCGGAAGGAGAGGAAGGCTGTGCAGGCCGTAAAGGTTAACGGGGAAACAGCCTATTTCAAGAGAAAGGGTTAATCTTGAGCAGACCGAGCTGCCAGAGGAGCAGCCTCGAGTTAAGAGATTACCACCGTTTGCTTCCCCAGTAGCCACCAAAAGCCTCAGATATCAAAATGGTCGGGGCTTCAGTTGCGGTAAAGTCTGTCACTTGAAAAGAAATTGTTAGCAAGCCGCTAAACGCCTCAGCGCTCAAAATGTGCGGTCTGTTAACTCGGAGAAATACGGTACATGCTGCCAGAGCCGCGAAGGAGCTATTTCTGGCAGAGCTGGGTTCTTGTCAAGAACCCGAGTTTGTGATAAAGGGGGGTCATTTGATTATTGAATGCGTGTCCAGGAGGGGCAACTTCTGGCTGTCAGGAAACGGCTTCAGAGTCCTAGCTCAAGGCTCAGCAACAAAAAGTATGAGCTGTTCCAGACAAGGGGGGCCAAAAATGATCAGATTATAAAAACAAAAAAGTGTTTGATTCGTTGATGATGTCCTTTTAAGAAAGCAACAAGTCTTATTAATATTAGATTAAAAGTCATTTAAAAAAAAAAGGAAATGTAGAAAGTCTTGGTCTTTAAAAAAAGCTCAGTTATGTTGTTGTAAATATGTTTTTGTGTTAATCCCAGGTGTGGGACACGGGACTGATTCAGATGGTCCACAGCAGCAAACTATTTGCCTCGTGCAAGCTCTGAGAGGGGCTCTTTGCCAGCTGCAGATAGTTTAAATCTGGGGACTCTGGAGAGAGGATAAATGCTAAAGACCAGAGAGTGTTGGGGGCTTTGAGGAAGAAGCTGCTGGTGCCCCTCCCTGCTGCTCCTGGTTGCTGTTGATGGAGTTTGAGAAGTTGGAGATATCCTGAAATGAAGACTGGACTTGCTCTCAGGAACCCAATGACCCTAAACAGCAGGAAGTAGCTAAGGAAAACTGCCCCCTTTCCCCACTGACCTTCTTTCTCTCCTACCTGGTGTTGGGGTATTGGAAGGGATTGGGGTGGAGAAGGGAGAAAAAGATATAAGCAGCAGAAATAGATTAAAAAAGTATGCCAACACCCTCACACAGACAAGCATGCAGTTAAAACACCAGTGTATGTAAAATAAAAAATTACTACAAAACCTAAAAATAAGACTGTCGGGGAATGCCTTACCCGGTTCAGAGTCCGAATGGGAGGGTTGAAGGAGGCTGGTGCTTGAGCCTCTCAGGCAAGTGTGGCTGCAGACAGCTGTGACTGTCCGGATCGGGGAAAGGCAGGAAATGCAAGAATTTGATGGATGTCCTAACAACAGGATGCACAGAGCAACAGGAAACTGGCCTGCCTGTCCACACACAGATAGAAATGCCCTTTGGAGGCCACAGGTTAGCCTTCTAGAAGACCCGTTTCTAGGGCAAGGATGTATGCACAGAAAGGCCCGGGGTTTTGCCACACAGGTGGCTGCCCTGGGTCTGTCTCTGTCACACTTGTCATGTGACTTTGGGCAAGTCCCTCTTCGTTCGAATCTGTGAAATGACAACATTACCCACTCATTCTTAGGTACACCAAGGACAGCCATTGTAGTTATTGAAACAGAACTGGCAAGTTCAGTTTGGTCCTTTCAAAATGTAAGACCTGTCCAGCTTGATATGGTGGCGCACACCTTTAATCCCAGCACTTGGGAAGCAGAGGCAGGTGGATCTCTGAGTCTGAGGACAGCCTGCTCTACCTATGTGGCAAGTTCTGGCCAGCTACATAGTAAGACCCTGTCTCAAAAACAGTAGAAAGCGCACACGCATTCATGGGACTGGAAGAGACGGCTCGGGTTAACAGCCCTGGCTGCTCTACAGGGAACCAGAGTTTGGTTCCCAGCACCCACATGGCAGCTCAAAACTGTCACTCCAGTTCTGCAAACACCAGGCACACATACAGTACATGGTACATAGACATACGTGGAATAAAAAACATGTACACACATAAATGTAAATGTTTTAAACCATTTTTATATATTTAATAAAGTATTACATATATGTGTGTATATATGTTTTTTTTTTTCCCAGAGTTTCTGTGTGTAGCCCTGGCTGTCCTGAAACTGTAGACCAGGCTAGCCTTGAACTCGGAGATCCGCCTGCCTCTGCCTCCCTTAGCACTCCTTTAGTGCTGAGATTAAAGGCCTGCGTCACCATATCTGGCCAAAACCTAATGCCTGCATGTTTTTTTCAGGACAAAGTATTCATTCTATTTATTTTAATTTTATTATCATTGCTAATATTCTTGGCTTTAAATTTTACTTATTACTGGAGTGCACGTGTGGGTTTGGGAGACTGAAGTTAGGTTATTAGGCTTATGCGGCAAGCCCTCTTGTCCACAGAACCATGTCAATGGCACTGTTTTTACTTTTCTGAGACCGAGTTTCATCTAGTGCAGGCTGTTCTGGTACTCGGTGTGTCCAAAGCTAGCCTTGACCACCTCAGCCATCCTCCAGCCTCCATTTTGTAAGCGCTGGGATCACAGGCAGACACCGCCACGTCTCCATCACTTTGATAGGTTTGTTTTATGTAAGAAGAAACCCAACTGAAGCCATTTTGAATAAAACTTTCATTCTGAATAGAGGTCAGATGTTGTTTAAGTTCCCGAGACCTCCCGGGTAACTGACATCCTGGTTGGCAAGTTGAGACATGGGTGCTAGACAGGGCGCCCTGCCACAGTTGAATAACCCAACCAACGGGAACAGAATAAGTGTGCCACAAAGACGTTCCTAAGGAAGTCCCCGATCCCTAAATCCTGACTGGTGAGATAACTTGACACAGATGTTTGTGGGTCTCTGGCTCAGGGTCACAGTTCACCACTGTTCTACAGTCCTGAGCCATCAGCAGCCGTCTGAGTACGATCAATCTTTGTCATCTGCTTAAATACTAAGATGAACATGTGAAGACGCAGTCAGCTCTTGAGTCTGCGCTGTTGTCCCTGACTGCAGTTTTAGCTGGGTAGTTCAGATGAAGATCTTGCTTTACTGCGCCCTTGTGCCCGATTGGGTTGTTTTGGATGTTTGGACCCTGACATTTAGTTTTTGGAGATGCGGTTGACTATGAAGCCTGTCAGGCCTGGCGATTCCTCTTTCTCGCCAGCTTGTCAGTGTCATTCCAACCATTCAGAGCCACAGGTGTGTGTACAAGACCATAGTATGAAACGTGCTGCAACGTGATGCTCTGCAGATGTTGGGACGAAAGCGAGCCAACCAACCGAGACTTCCACACCCCTGGCAATGCCTCACCCGGAACCCCTGGCTCCTGACACTGTGTCCCTGCTAGACTGGTGTCTGAGGCGATAGCTGGGACCCTGACCTGATCTGAATGCCTGGGAAGGAACCCGGGGGTCTAGAAGCTCTCAGGAAAAGGTGTGGCGGGGGTTTTGTTTTCACCTGAAGTGAAAGTGCGAAGTGAAACAGGGTTACAGCAGAGGTGGCTGCTCTACACTGGAGGGGCAGGAAGGAAGCCCATGATTGCAGCACCCACAGTGGAAAGCTGAGATTTGATGCCCTCATAAAGCTGAGGGGTTTGGTTTTGGGGTGCGTGTGTGTATGTGTGTGTGTTCGAGAGCATGCGCCGGGGAAGAACCCAGAGCATTTTGGCATACCTCCACCTAGCCACACTCCAAAAGCAACTCCTGGTTGCTTCTGCCTGGGACTGGGAAGGAGGAGGAGGCCTGTGTTCTGGTTCCTGCCCTGTCACTGAGTCTTTGGATTGGCCCTTCTCCAGCTGGGTTTTTCTTTTCTCATCTTTGAAGCAGGCAGGTGGATGGTGGTGATTCCAAAGGTCTCTGGATCCCAGGGTACTGAGTGTGTGTGAGTGTGTGCGTGCATGGGCGCATGTACAAGTGTGTAATACACACACACACATATATAATATAGAAATAATATATTACATTATGATATATAATGTGTATGTGATGTATACATTAGACGCAGAGCCTCCTCTGTGTTAGACCCCTAAGATACCACTTGGGCCCTCCCTCCAGTAACATTTAATGTAGCCATGCCCAATCTATGGATTAGGAAGAAGTCTGTAATGTAGAGAACTGCCGTGCACAGTCTCCACAGTGACCCCTTTCCCTGTGTCTCTTAGTTGTCAAAGAAGCCACAGGATTCTGCCTGGTAAAGTTTGTATAAGAAGCCACAGGATTCTGCCTGGTAAAGTTTGTATCAAGTTTGGTTTCTATTTACGCCCAGATTTCCAATGCTGACCTCTGACCTCTGCAAGTACACACACACACTCGCGTGAAACAATAGCAACAAGAGCATAAACATAAGCAGAAGTATGGCTACCAGAGAGAACTAGACACAGAGCTGATGGGAGATAAAACAAAGGGTCCCAGAGAGTTCCCAACCTCAGCCTTGGCTTTGGCACAGGTTAGTTCTGTGAAAAGTCACTTATTCTCTCGTTCTCTCTCTCTCTCCCAAGGATGTTTACGTATTATTTATACAGTATTCTGCTCAGAAGAGGACAGCAGATCACATTCTAGATGGTTGTGAGCCACCACGTGGTTGCTGGGAATTGAACTCAGGACCTTAAGAACTTAAGTGCTCTTAAGCTCTGAGCCATCTCTCCAGCCCGTCATTTATTCTCCTGATCCAGTATTGTCATGACAAGAGTTTGGTATTAAACTTCCCATCACATCCTGTCCCCAGTCCCTGCCGCCCCCCACCCCCCGCCTTAGATCTCTCTAAAGTAGCTCCGGCTGTCCTGGAACTCACTCTGTAGACCAAACTGGCCTCAAACTCATAGAGATCCACCTGCCTTTTTAAAGCATGTGCCACCACTCCTGGCTACATGTTGTCCTGTCTAAACCCCAGCATGGCCCCCTAAAGAGAGGTAACACGGTTTTCTCCATTTATGGTTGGAGAAATGGGTGCATAGAAGTAAGAGATTTGGTGGGGTTAGAGCAGAGGCACATGGGCCAGAAACTGCTGGCCCCTTCCTTCTCTTCCTTGTGAACAGAAGAATTGGGGTGGGGACAGCAGCCCACCAGATGAGCTAGCTGAATGGCTGGAGCAGAGCTAATGGCAGAGCGAGGTGCAAACTGAGAAGCTCCAAGTATCTGAACTGCTAAGGTATTGAGCTCAGAAAACAATCAAAGAAAAGGGAATCTGGATATATATATATAAAAAAAAAATCATAGGAAGAACTGTTTGATTTGAATATAAGAAAGTAAAGTCCTTAGGAAGAGGTTTTGAGAGCAAAAAACAAAAATACTTTTCATGTTAAAAATGGAAGAAAACAATGACACAATGCATCTGGATTCCATATAATTTTGTCTCTCTTAGCATACAAATAATTTTTTAAGCAGCAATTACAATTTTGTATATCCTCTTAGGAGAGAGTAAGGCAGACTTGGAGAAAGAAGAGACTGAGAAATTAGATGCTGGATTGGAGGCCAAAGAACAGAGGCTGGAGAATTCTTTGAATCAAAATGGGGGGAACCGTCAGAGGAATCCAATCTGAAACTTACAACAGCCTCAAGGGAGGATAGTTCCTGATGGGAGAAATCCGCAAAGGCTTGAGGAATTAGAGTGGCAAACTACAGAGGCACAATATTCTGAATTAAGAATCGAAATTCTGCTTAATGACGCTACCTTAGAGCAATGTTATACAAGAAATTAAGCATCTCATTTTGTAGAGTTTGGAGAATTAAGACAGGTGCATATGTTATACCATACAGTGGACTTTTGCCTTGACTTCTGAGAAGGATGATTCTGAGATTATGTATTTGTTGGAGATGATGGCCATCTTGGAGACGCCTTTACAGATCGAAGCTGATGATGCTTTAACACGTGTATCCATTAGAATACAACACTACTTTGGATCCTCTGGCATAAAAATGTCACAGGTATATCTCATAATCTTACAAACAAGCAATTATAGAGAAATCTAGCAGGACTCTAAAGAAAAATGCTCATAGAACAGAAGGGGGGGGATAAGGAATCTCCCTGAGATAGATTAAATGGTGCTTTGTTGACTTTAAATATCAGTGAGACAAGCTGCTGAAATACACTGGAATTTAGAAACAACTGATGGATTAGATCATCTTATGGGTGTGATAACCTCATAACGGAAGAAAGGAAATGTGTTGCGTTGGGGCGGAGATTTTGCATTTCTTTCCACAGGAGAAGAAAAGCTATGTTTTCCATTCAAATTGTTGGAAATCAGATTTAACGGGGGGTGGGGGGAGG